GGGAGGGAGGGAGGGAGGGAAAAAAGTGTCGTGCCTAGAGCTGTTATTTTTCATTTCCACTGCAGGAGTGTCACAGCTATTAGGGTATATGTAGGGTGTCGACACATGGCAGTAGCCCAGTCGCTGTGAGCCATAAGTGGATCAGATGATGAAAGGGTGCAGAGAGTAGTACTTGCCAGGTGAGTCTACATCAGTCCTATGGCCAAGGACGTTCAGCTTGGCAGTCTGACAGCTCTGGAAAATTCTGGTTCCAGCCACTCGGGTTCAAACTCAGCTGCCGCTAAATGCACAAGTGACTTTTGCTGTGGTTTTGTTTGAAGTTTCGGGTTCAAACTCAGCTGCTGCGAAACGCACAAGGGCCTTTTGCTGTGGCTTTGTTTGAAGTTTCTTTCTTTCTTGTCTGGTACCCCTCTTATGATTCAACAAATGGATTGCTTTATTTTTCTCTGTTTTTTTTTTTTTTTTTAATGTTTAACCTCCAATCCTTTTCTTCAAATTTCCTTTTTTTTAAGCACTGATTCGGGAAAAATATTCAACCCTGTACTACAAGACCCTGTCTTGGCTATACATCCTCCTTGTATTTATGCAGGATACGTTGCCAGTACTACTGGTTTTTGTTTATGTGTTTTTTTAACTTTTTTCTTGTCTTTCCTTTTTTCCTTGTTTCTTTTCTTTTCATTTTTCTTTTAAGGGTTAGAACTTACAAGTTGAAACTCCGCAGCATGAGTGAGACATAACGTATCAGCAGATTCTGCAATCTATTGTCCCAAAAAACTTGTGCTGCACCTAGAACCTACTGACTGGTCCCGTATACTGTTTCAGTGATGTGTGCATCTTTTGTTTTTTTCCTTTTCTTCCCGCAATAACTCATCCCCAACCGTACGGAGCATGGCATGTCGAATGCCAAGAAACCAAGAAACCTACAGCTGCTCATAGATGTAAACATGATTTGCATCAGCCTGCATAACGTGGAGGAGAGGTGATCAGGTGTAGGCGAAATATACTACCGCACTGATTTTCTGCGCAAGGCAACATTGCCAGTAAATGATAAACCTCTCGCTTTACTCTCATACCCCAAACAGCGCCCAGATTCGCATCTCAGCAACACACTGTTGCCGGATTTGTGCAGCCAATCACGAGCATCCTCCGTCATGCTTTGCTGAGACTCAGCAGGCCGAGGTCGAGTTGAGTGTGGAGTTCAAAATACCACCCCATGAAGTCCATTGGATATAGCTTCCAACCACCGAAGGAAAAGTCCGGTCAGCCCCTGCAGACAACAGAAGAACTGGTGGCCGTTGTTCGTCTTCCATCCAACGCATCAATTGTAAAAGGGAAGGCCACGTGGGGACCACGGTGGGCATGGAATACCAAGTGGTTGGACAAGCTGCTCGGAACAGACCAGGGGAGAGATTGGCCCTTGGACCATTGCAGCTACTGAGGACGAGAGTAGAGACCTTTCTGAGGACGAGAGTAGAGACCTTTCTGAGGATGAGAGTAGAGACCTTTCTGACAAGTACTGGGGGCAGACTACGTTCACCACTGAGGGCGTACGCACACAAGCACTTTCCAAAATGCATCTGACTGCAATTACGGCCACACCTGCACGAACCTAACTGCAATTACGTCCACAGCGTTGAGGAAAAAGTCCTACTGTGAGTGTGCCCTGATTGTCATAAAATATGACCAGATTCATGGACTATGGCAAATGGGACCGAAGCACGAGGTTCATGAACTGTGCCAATTGGGACCGAAGTAGTAAGTTCAATCGGCTGCTTTTCTATGCCACAGTTAGACCACCGCTATATTGTCATAAAACATGACCAGATTCATGGACTATGGCAAACTTCTTTGTTGAAAGCTCAGCGTCCGGGACCGTTTTGGCTGGTGGAGCCAGCCAGAAAAGGGGAAAAAAAGAGTGCCTATGTGGTTAGTTTTGGACTCGGCGCGCGGCGCAAATCCGCCACGGGAAAAAGAGGCTTGGAGGTAGTGGTAGTTCAAACTTCAAAACAAGAAGGGAAAAAAAAAAAAAAAAAAAGCAAAGGAAAGAAATAACAATCAATTTCTCGACCAGACGGAAGGAAGCGTGAGAGTGTTCACCATGTATTTCAATTCTTGACTTGCCGGGGGAATAGGAGCTGGACTGACGCCAAAAAAAAAAAAAAAAAAGTAGCTGGACTGACGTTTCCCAGAATGGATATGGAGCCAATACCATAAGGACCTGTTTCAACCAAAAAACAAACAAACAAACAAACAAACAAACAAACAAACAAACAAACAAACAAACAAACAAACAAACAAACAAACAATTTTCTCGGTTCTTTTTGGTCAATGTATAAGGACTGATGTAGTCACCTTCTTCCCCTGAATTGAGCCCCAGGCATCATGAGTGCATCAAACATAGGTTTCCAGCCAGATACGTTCATGATGCCAGGGCTTTTGGATCTGAAGATAGGCAGGGAACCGGATGGCTAGCAAGCTCACAAAGGGCCACAATGTATTTTGCTCTGTGGTCGTTGCCACTGTGTTAACATGTGCTAAAGCCGCATCTGGGACTAAAGAACGTTCTCGTGCAGAAAGATGAATCTGGTCGGAAAACCAGCGGTTCATGCTAACCTGGTACAAAGATAACACCAGTTGCATCTGGCCCTAAAGATTGTGCCAGCAAGAAATACGTCAACCAGTGAGGGAAGTCCGTTACTCTGACAACGGGTGGGTCCTACATGACGTAAAGAGTAAGGGTCGGGTTGGATGGCAGCTCGTCTTGCCCAAACTCCCCAAAAGAGAAAGAAACAAAATACAATGCGAGCTATGAGTAGGTCATAGCTGTCCAACCTGGATCACGGGCCCCTAGGGAGCTTCTTGTTTATGTCATCCTCCCTGTCATCAATCCCTCCCTTTCTCTCTTTGGCTGTTATTCCCTCCCTGTCTCTGTTCCTCTGTCTCTCTCTCCCCTTTCCTCAGCCACTCTCTCTTATTCTGTCTGCCTCTCTCTCTCTCCCTCTCTCCCTCTCTCCTTCTCCACCTCTCGCCCTCTCTCACTTGCCTTCTCTGCTCCTCTCCCTCTCGTCCGCTCCCCTTCCTCAGCCCTAGAACATCCTGGACATAGTGCCATTCTGTGGATCTTGATGGAGTTGGATCTCTGGTCGGATGTGCTTAGTTTGGCAACATATGCAGCCCAGAGGGATAGGAGGATGCTCCAGACGCCAGAGCGCGAACTCTAAGGGCCAAATGCCCAAGGAATCATTGTACCAGAAAGTTGTATCTAAGGGACACTGGACCCATTTTCCAGCAGGTGCTGCTCCCCACCAATAGATGGAGCCTCCCCGTCAGTGCTAGAGGTGTCTGCTCATATCAGCACTCCTAGCATCCGCCCGGGTTGTTAAAAAAAAAGAAAAAAAAAAAGAAAAAAAGGAAAAAAAAAATCTGCCACTTGGAGAAGCTCCTTTTTTTTTTTTTTTTTTTTTTTTTTTTAAAGAAAAATCCCCTGACATCAGATAGGAGTGTGATATCAGCACTCCTAGCATCCACCCGGGTTGTTAAAAAAAATAAAATAAAAATAAAAATAAAAATGCCACTTGGAGAAGCTCCTTTTTTTTTTAAGAAAAATCCCCTGACATCAGATAGGAGTGATGATAAGAGCATACACTCCTACCTGACTCACCGGGGGCTCCAGTCTATTGGTGGGGAGCTGCACCTGCTGGAAAAACGGGTCCAAGTAGATTTCAATTTCCCAGATTTCGCCTTAAGTCTGTTTTTTAACTCCTTTACTAAGTTACTATCGCCTTGTAGGATGTACAGCTGCAATAAC